CACACTTACCCAGTAGCACAGAGAGGCCTGCACACACTGTCCATGGTCAGCATAGCTCTAGGAGGAGCATGGGGTGTCACGGCTCCTCCTTCTCAGCTCCTTGTCTTGCCACAGTGCTCTGCCCATTCCTTCCATCTCTGGCTACCATGCTGCCTGTCCTGTCACAGGGCCTTGGTGCTGGCCGGCCTCCACGGGCCATCTGGACAGCAACCCTCTGACCGTGTCCCCAACTGTGAGACACCCAGGGCAAGCACAGCAGCCTTGCTGTCCTCTCCTGTGGGGACCCAGCATGAGTTCCCTGCCTGGTTCCCATCAACCCTTGCCACTGAGGCATGGGGCAGCTGGGGCAGCTGGGGCTCCCACTCCAGGACTCCACCCACATGGCCCGGCCCTGCCTGGCTGGGCTCCTCCTTTCCAAGGGGCCTTGACAGCGGCCTCCTGCTGGGGTCCTGTGAGCAGCCATTGGGGCTCTTCTGCCCAAGACCTGAGGACACAAGGCCACCGCACAGCTGAGAGCCCCTCCTCTATCATCCCCCGTGCATGGCCAGCTGCAGGGGTAAAGAGAGAGGGCAGGGGATGTACAGCCAGACCGATGTCCCGGGCGAGGATCGGCCATGGGAGGAGTGCGTGGCACCACAGGGAAGGAGCAGAGGCCCAGCCAAGGGGAGGAAGGGAACTAGGTGGGTCTCTTGTCCCCTCTGCTGGGACCAGGACCGGTCATGGCTGGACAGAGGCTCGTAACAGTGATGGGTGCCCGGGACGGAGGCTGGCAGGGTCAATGGCTCTGGAGGACAGCTCAAGATGCCCTCCGCGGCCAGATCCGCTGGGACACTTGACGGTCATGTTCAAATACTCTCCACTTGAATTTCGGCATGAAAATAAGACATGCCTTTCAGCTTTTCTGCCTTTGAAGCTCAAAACTAGTTACCGTTTCCTTGGAAGATTCTGCAGAACAAAAGGAAAATAAATCCTCCCCCCTGGCTACCAAGGGCTGCCCAGCCCCGTCCAGCAAAGCAGACGGAGCAGACCCCATCTGCACAGTGTTCGCAGGAAAGGTGTGGGCACCCGCCATCGACCTGCAAGCAGAGGCGGGGACCCCAGCCAGGGGCACCAGCACCTCCACCAATCTGGTCTCCAAGAAGGGGTACAGGCCATGTGTAGGGCCGCCTCATGCCTACCGCACCCCTGGGCGCACACTAGCAGCCATCAGGGTCACTCTGGAAAGGGGGTGAGGCCAGGGCAAGGTGGCTGCCCGAGAAGGGCTCTGTCCCTACACCTCTCAGCTGACACTGCCCAGCTGTATATGGACCAGCCAGGCAGGAGCCTCCCACCAGGCCTCCCCATGGCTTCCCAGGTGACATAGGCCTGTCCTTGCCAACCAGGGGCTTCTGATACTAGCATCCATCTGGAAGCAGGAAGGACAGGGCAAGGCCTGCCAGGCTTGCTCCAGGACTGTTGGATGACTGCAGGTTCTGGGTGCAAATCATGCCTGCCAACCGGACCTGCTGCCCTGCCCACTGTGATGCCAGCCAGCTAGGACTCCCTCTGCAGGGAGGAGCAGGGAGCCAGCTGTGACTTGGCTGTGATCCTGGCCTGTGGCAGGCGTGGCCTGCCAGCGCAGCAGTGCAGGATCACAGCCTAGACAGTACCCAGCTCAGCCTTTCACGGGGCTCTAACCCACGCGCCCTCACAGAGAGGCCCTCTATGAGCACGTGGGCACCTGCCTTTGACCTGACACTCTTTCCAAGGGCCCAGTCATGTGCGATGACCGGGCTGGCTTTCAGGTGTCCCAGGGCTCTGCCACCATTGCACTTGATTCCATGCCTGGCCGGACAGCTACCAGGCCATTGGCTGAAGGCGACTGAGGAGCAAGGGATTCAAAGGAAAGGAAAACATAAACTCTCCAACCAGCAAGGCAAGAACCCTCAGAATTATCCAGTGAGCCAGCCACAGGAAGTGGAGGAAGGGCATGTGCTTCATGCGGGGCATCTGGATTCCCACGGTGACCCGGAACAGTGGCAAAGTCACCTCTCTTCTTTTACTGCCAGAAGCTGAAATTCCAGCTCAAGCAGGAACAAAGCAGGTGACGGAGGCTGGGGGAAGATGGCACGGGAGCCCAGTGGCCCCTGCTCTGTCCTAGGCACCCCACTCCAGAGTGATCTCTGGGGCACCCCTGTGTGCCCAGAGTTTCCGTCTTGGCACAGCCAGCCCCTCACAGCATGTTTTATAGACGCACACTCTGCAAGCCCTGTCCCAGTCCCAGCAGCCGATGCTCACCATGCCTCCAGAGCCACGGGGCCTCCCAAGGGCCTGGCGCCCCAGCTTGATGGCCGCCATTCCTCTGGCTGGCCTCACGTCCACTCTGGACACCACTGGCTGCTCTCTGCCATGGCCAGGCTGACAGCTGTGGCCCTGCAGGTCCACGTCCCAGGGCCCCGATGTGGTGGCCCCAGGGTGTGATGATGCCCGGCAGGGCAGGTTCTGTATGCTCAGTGCTGGGCTTCACAGAGGTATCGGCTCGGCTTGGCCTGTAGGGACCACTCCACCCACTACAGGCCAAGAGGGGCCCCCAGGCCATCTGTGGGAGAGTGAGGATGATGACACCTGACCTTGGGGACCCCCAGATCCCAGCCTGGTGTTTATGCCCTGGGTTCCAGGCATATCCATGATGGCTTCGAAAGGCCGGGGCACGTCCCCAAGCTCAGGCACAGAGGGCACAAAGAGGAAGGAGGAGTGGACAGCACCCTCTGAGGCCATTGTCTACCCTGTTTTCTTATTCTTTTTTGTGGGGGGGTACTGGGAATTGAACTCGGGTCCTTGTGTTTGTGAGTCAGGCAGCAGAACCACTGAGCTAACTCCCTGGTCCTTCGTTGTCTACCCTGGATGCTGGGCTGGGGAGTCCCCAGGCAATGCCACCCCTCCTGGGACCCTGAGGCCTGGCAGCAAGGAGTAGCTGCGGCATCCCCACCTCCTCCCTGGGCACTTGTAGCCCATAAGGCCCTCCACCCACACCTCTGTGCTGGCTGTGATGGGTGGAAGCCCAGGGATCCCCAACCCTCCGCAGAGGCCATGCACCTGCAGGGAAGGGCCTGCCACACAGGACCAGTGCCACCATGCTGCAGGAACGGAGCCCCGGAACTGTCACAGGGGGCTGGCCTCAGACTCCAGAGGCCAGGCAGAGGGGACAGTGAGTCCTTACCTGGTCCACAGCCTAGCCTTGAAGGCTCCGGCAGGTCACTGCCTCCTGAACCATGGCACCGCATGTGGACATGGTGGACTGGGCCATCTCTGTGCTGTGGCTGGCCCAGAACAGGCCAAATGGAGGACCCCAGGGGCCATGTCACCACATTCTTCCCTCCCACAGGTGTGGCAGCCCCTCAGCTTACACACAGGCAAGTCCTCAGAGCCCTAGCTAAGATGCCATCTCTGGAGTTGGGAGATGCTCTCTTCTCAGGCTCACATCAAAACCTGCTGCTGACTGTGACTGTGCCCTGAACAGTCTCCCACCAGACTGGGTGGTGGCGGGAGGGGCAGCACTGGGGAGACCACAGACAGTCCAGGGATGCAAGCTGCACTGTAAAGGAGCATCATGCACTGAGCATGTGGGGACCCCCGCTTCCCTCCATGGCTGACCCGTGCTCAGGAAGGCCACCACCCAGCACCACTGGAGCCACCCGCCACCTCAGATGCCTCTGGTGCCACCAGAACCTCTTGTTCCCCTTGCAGCCATCACTGACAAGCCCACAGCCTGGGCCTCTAGGCCCCAAGGGAGCAGCACTGGGAGAGGAGGTGACCCCACCCAGTACACTGCTGCCCAAGGCACTCAGGGCCCCACAGATGCATGCAGTCATCTCTGGGGTGCAGGGAGGGCAGGTGAGTCAGGACTGGACATGCCCTGAACGTGCACGAGGTTACTGCCACCCATGGTCCCTCCTCACGGGTGACTGCTGAGGACAGGAGAAGTGCATCCTCACACTGGCCCCTGGGGTGCAGTGTGAGGCGTGAGACATTCCCAGGGACCCCACCAAAAGGACACAGATAACAGCACCCTGGATGCTGTGTGGAGACCATGAAGGCCAGAGATGGACGGGAAGGCCCACCACCTGCTGGCCCCAGCTGGGCAGCCACTGGACCAGAGGCAAGAGCCACCAGCAAGAGAGGACACAGCCAAGATAGGGCTGCACCCACCAAGGGTCTTAGGCTGAGGGTGGGGCCTGGCTGGGCCCCCCAGGCCGTGGCCAAGGAGGACAGCTTGGGACAGCGGTGCGATCGCTGGCAACCGAGCTGATTCACGAGTGCCCCAGTCTTTAGTTCTGCGAGTGGTCTTCCCACCTGAGACAGGACCTCAGCTTCATGGAACTGAAGGTGGGTATGCACACTTTAAGAAAAGTTCCCAAGCCAGGCATGGTGGCGCACGCCTATAATCCCAGCACTCGGGAGACTGAGGCAGGAGGATCGCTGTGAGTTCGAGACCAGCCTGGGCTACACAGTGAGTTCCACGTCAGTCTCCACTACATAGTGAGACTCTGTCTCAACCGCCCCCCTCAAAAAAAAGAAAGAAAGAAAAGAAAAGAAAAGAAAAGTTCCCAGACATGGACCTGCGCTCTTAAAGGCCACCCTGACCCTCAGTGCAGATTCCACATCCCTGGAAGCACGCCATGCTCCAGAGTAGGCACCCTGTGACCCCAGGTCCCACGCCCGAGAAGCACTTGGAGTCACAACCTGTCACCACACTGCTCTCACTCAGGCATCCTTGGGGCAGGGTCCCCAGGCCAGACAGTCAGGGCCAGGGAGGCCCGAGCCCGTCATGAGAACACCGGCCCAGTGTCACATCTGACCAGTGGCAGCCTGAGAGGCCAGCCTTGACCGCTCACTGGCCACCAACATGTCCTCCAGCAGGCATGACGCAGCTCACAGGGCCACAGGGCCAGGCCTCTCCTGGACCCCAGCCCACAACACGTCCCTACTGTGCCCAGCAGAGGCCCACATGCATCTCTGACCTCCACAGAAGCGGCATCAGACTCCAGGAAGCACAGATCCTCCACTGAGTTCACCTCTGAGCACCTGGAGCCTGGGCTAGATGGGGCTGCAGTGTGGGCTTTCCATCCACAATGGCAGAACTTCCTTCCCAAAAGGACACAGATGTGGTCACACAGGGTGCAGAGCGGCAGTGGGTGAGGGGGTCAGGCCCCTGACAAGCCCACCACCCCTTAACCCCAGTGAAGACCTCACTTCCAGTGCTGAGCTGACACATAAGTGTGGCTCTGGGCCTCCAGACCTGGACAGCTCTGATCCTGGACGCCTGGGCCAGAAAAAGATCCTGCACCCTGGCAAAAGCTGTGGTCTGGGCAGCCCCAGTCTTCCAGTTTAGACCCTGCTGCCCGCCCGTGGTCACCCCTGGAAGACAGGGCCATCCCTGCAGAACAAGGATCCTCTAACTCCTCAGCCTGGGGACTGAGGCGCAGGCCCTGGGATTCCCAGCCTGGGACATCACGGCCTCTCCCACACCCGGTTCTCAGCTTGCCTCCCATCCCAGCTGGGCCCCTGGTCCCTTGCACGCCCACCTAGCAACCCCGGCTTGGCCTTCGCCTCTGGCAGAGCTGTCCGGGCCTGGGTGCACCCTCCT